TGTTTTATTTTGTTTATAAAGTAAAAATTTATTAGAAATGATTATTTATCTTGCAGAATACTCAGACTGTAGTGCTTTTACTTTAATCCATAATTATGTCACAGTATATACAGATACCTTTTCAGAATATAGAAAACACAAAATTGTGTGCTTTGCAAAGTTTGAAAACAGCCAAACCATATTCAAGCACACATATATGATTTTCTTCATATATGCATTACAATAGCATAAAAATCATTAAAAATTATTGTTACAATGAAGGAAAAACTGACAATACACACCAAACTTTTAAATAGAAACTAGTGGCAAGATAACAATTAACAAAACTTATTCCACAATTATTCAAAACAAAACAAAGATAACAAAAAATAATCTATAAAAATGTTGGGGGGCCTGCCCACTAGCTCAGTTGTTTCAGTGCCTGCTTAAACAAAGCAGTCAGGCTCAAGATGCTCTTGTTCGAACCCAGTTTCTCACAGGAAACCAGAAATGCCCTCAAAGCATCTTCAGGCCACCAATAAATAAATAAATAAAATAAAAGCCAGTTAAACAGAAGACCCAATGATATTATGGGCTTCTGTACTCTTTTAGAATAAATAAATAAATAAATTAAATAAAATAAAAATGCTGTGAACTATTGAAATACTGTAGCAGCAGATCACAGCAAGATAAGCCCCCACAAAGAGACCAAGCGTGAAGGAACAAGGAAGCCTGTGACCAAAATGCTAGAATTCTAGTCTAGACCCACAAGGTGTCAGTGCAGTTTGAACTTTGCTTTCAGGTTTTATGCTTTTCAGGTATCCATACCCACCACATTTCCACATTTGAAGGAATAGAGTGACATTATAAACCTTGTTGTAATTGAAAACTTTCAATTTGATCTTCCATCCAAAGGACAGAGGTTTCTAGAATGCTCACTTGGGTTATTAACTTTGTGTTAATATTTTACTGAATTTCCCACTGTCACCAGAAATTCTTGGCCAGTTGTCTACAAGGTGAGCAGATAATATGGAATGAGCTAACATCATAGAGTCAACAACTGCACATGCTACCAAGAGCACCAAGGAAGTTATCCCTGCTATTAAATCCA